GTTAAGACTTTTGCTATGATATGATGGGATGAATATGTTTTCCATGTTGCAAAGATGTGATTTTTTGGGGGCCAAAGATTGAAAAAAGTATTGTGTAACTTCCTCATTAAAAAGGACTTTCATAAACTTTGATCCCCCCCCAAAGCCCTCCTTTATTTCCATCATTACATCGATTGTGATGTTTAATGTGTTTCATGAATCCAACCCATGCTGGCACCCTCCTGCTTCACAAAATTTGCCATCTCTCTGTTGCTGGGATTTTGAGCATGTGATTTAATTATTCTTGCTCTTGAGGTAAAGCGTGTTGGTCATGTGCCCTAAGACTCCAGCAAGATTTGAACAGCACCGTTTTTCAAACTGAGTGTTTGAAAGAGCGGGGAAGGTGCCCTGCTGATAACATACCGAGGGGCTTTTCCTACTCTGAGACTTGAGCTCGCAAATCCCTGGCTATCTGGGCGGGACAGAGCTACCGATCACATGAGTACATAGGAACCTTCTCTAGAAGTGGGAAAAGATTAGCCTAGGCTGCCTCCTCCTTGCATGGAAAACACTACTGCATGTGCTTGATCATATCACTAAGTATCATGTTACGTTAAGAGATGACGTGTATTAGAGTATCCAGAACAAAAGCAGAGAGAGTTCTCCATCCCCCCCCCACCGCCTGAGCTGGCAGATCACACCTGGAACAGGACACCATGAGTGAGAAGAGCCCCAGGCAATCAGAAGCCCCTCCAGGAGCATCGAAGCCAGTGACAGAGCACAGAACTCCAGCAATAGAAGAAAAGGTGAAGGTTCCCTGTTAACGAATGAACAAGCTGAGAACACCGCAGCCTGGAGAAAAGATGATACCAAGGACAAGCGTTCTCTCTTCCAACCGCTGAGGGCTTGTCATGTGAGAGAAGGAGGAGATGTGTTCTGTGCAGCTCTAAAGGATGACCCACAGGGAGAATAGACTGATGAAGCTGCCTCAGGATAGCACAGGCTGCTTCCAGCAGTAGTGAGCTCCCTGTCACTGGCATTGTGCAAGCAGGTGCTAGAGGGTCCTTTGTAGTTAGTTAGGCTTCAAACACCTGTGTGAGGCAGGAAATAGACCAAGTTACTTTTAGTTCCCTGAAAAACAGTAAGCCAATTAAGTCACTAAGTATTTATAAAGGACATACTATGGAGGCAGTGAGGAGGCCTTGTGGCACGGTGGTTAAAGCGCTTGGCTGGTGACTGAAAGGTCGGCGGTTCGAACCCACCAGCCACTCTGAGGGAGAAAGATGCGGCAGTCTGCTTCTGTAAAGATTACAGCCTTGGAAACCCTATGGGGCAGTTCTGTTCTGTCCTGCAGGGTTGCTATGAGTTGGAATCGGCCTGATGGCAAAGGAGTTTGGGTGGGTTTTTTTTTTTTTTGGTTATGGAGGCAGTAAAGGAGTCCCTGGGTGGTACAAATGATTAAATGCTGGGCTACTAACCAAAAAGCTGGCAGTTCAAAACCACCCAGAGGCACCTCAGAAGAAAGGCCTGGCAATCTGCTTCCAAAAGGTCACAACCATGAAGATCTTATGGAATGAAGTTCTACTCTGTAACACATGGGGTCGCCACGAGTTGAATTGACTTGACAGCAATGCGTTTAGTTTTGTTTTTTTTTTTTAATTTTTATGGCGGCAATGGTGGTTCAGTGATAGAATTCTCACCTTCCATGTGGGAGACCTGAGTTCCATTTCTGGCCGAAGCACGTCATGTGCAGCCACCACCTGTCTGTCAGTGGAGGCTTGCATGTTGACTGTGATCCTCAACAGGTTTCAGTGGAGCTTCTAGACTAAGACAGGCTAGAAAGAAAGGCCTGGCGACCTACTTCCATAAATTGGCCTATGGAAACCCTATGGACCACAATGGTCTGATCCGCAACCGATCGTGGGGATGGTGCAGGACTGGGAAGCATTTTATTCCATTGTGCTTAGGGTCGCCATGAGTTGGGGCCCCAACTCCACAGAAGCTAACAACATATGTTTAGTGCCAAGAAGCAGACTGACTTTCTACATGCCCGAAAATAAAGTTGCTTTGTTTTTCTCACCAGGAGATGACCCATTCCTGGCCTCCTCCTCTCACTGCCATGCATACTCCTGGAAACTCTGAGCAGAACACCTTTTCCATCCCAGGACAGGTCAGTTACCTTGCTTCCTCCTCTTTCCTTTATCTTAATGATTCGACTTTTCTAATTGGATTCTTAAAAATAAAAATGGCTTTGGTCTTACAAAAAAAACCTCTTGCTGTCAAGTCGATTCTGACTCATAGCAACCCTGAAGGACAGAGCAGAACTGCCCCGTAGGGTTTCCAAGGAGCGGCTAGTGGAATTGAACTGCCGACCTTTTGGTTAGCGGTCAAGCTCTTAACCACTGTGCCACCAGGGCTCATAGTACCCTAAAATCTAGACCCTCTCTTGCCCCCAGGATGGTAATCATAATAATAGGATTTTGTATTGAAAGAAAGTCTTTAAGAGACTATGCACATAGATTCTGTCATGTGTATCTTACTACCTGGAGCTCCTGCCACTGTCTATGTTACTTTGCCCAGAGTGGCTGAATCAAAGAGAGGAGTGAACACAACCATTAGGAAATACCAAGGAGATGATGCAACAGCAACATCCAGGATGTTTTTAATTAAAAAAAAAACAAAAACAAAAACTTTTCACTCTATTGTATCTAGTTTCATTTTGTGTATCACTTTCCAGTGATATAAGTAGATGAGTCTGAACACACCAACTCATCACATTAACAGAACTTTTTCTTCTACAGTTCTATCGTCAACTGTCTAACATAATTTTTCCTTACCTGTTCCCAGTAGGAATTTTCTCATTATCATTTTTAAAAATGTCTAAATAGATATGGCTACACTAATAACACACTTAAAAAGAAAAAAAAAAGTCTTCCTTCTTTCCACCTTTCCTTCCGCCCATTGATCCATCCTTACATCCATCCATTTGTTCAGAAACCATTTGCTAAGGACAAAAAACCAGTTGCCATGAAATCAATTCCGACTCCTGGCGACCCCATGTGTGTCAGAGGAGAACTGTGCGCCATAGGGTTTTCAGTGGCTGATTTTTCAGAAGTAGATCTCCAGGCCTTTCTTCTCACCTCTGGGTGGACTTGAACCTCCAGCTTTTCAGTCAACAGCCAAGTTCGTTAACATTTTGTACCACCCAGGGACTCCTACTGAGGACATAAACCAACCCAAACCACACCCGTTGCTACCGAGTCACTCATGGTGACCCCATGTGTTACTGAGTAGAACTGTTCCATAGGGTTTTCTTGGCTATAATCTTTACAGAAGCGGATCACCAGGCCTTTCTTCCACAGTGCTGCTGGGTGGGTTTGAACCTCCAACCTTTAGGTTAGGAGTTGAGTGCAAACCATTTGCGCCACTCAGGGACAGAGGACATGCAATGGGCTTAAATTAGAGATGAAGAAAGGCCTTCTGTGTGTTATGAGGCAAACCACAAAGCAATGTAGTAGGTGTCTACACAGAGAATAAAAAGGCTCAGAGAAGTATCCAGCACTCCTATGAGGAGTTGAGGAAGTGCTCCTGGAGGTGGCAACATTTGGAAGATGGTGAGGACTCGGACCAGTTTAGAAGGGCCCAAAGGACAAGCACACATGCAGAAGAACAGCGCTGAGAGGTGAGGGATCTGGTGTGATGCAGCCTGGTATGAAGTCCTGAGTGGCTGGATCAGAGTTCCTGTGATGGGGAGTGGAGAGCGATGAACCCCCAGAAGTTAGGTACATCTCTGTGAGAGGCCTTAAATGCCAGCCCAAGAAGTTTGGACTATATTTGTAGAAGGAGGGACAACCCCAATGAGACCCTTTACTCTTTACTGTTATTGTTAGTTGCCATCACGTTGGCTCTGAGTCACGGCAACCCCAAGCACAATGCAACAAAATGTTGCCTGGTCCTCCACCATCTTCACAATCATTGGTATGCTTGAGTTCACTGTTGTGGTCACTGTGTATTCTGAGTGCCTTCCAACCTAGGGGGCTCATTTTCCAGCGTGATATCAAACAATGTGGTATTGTGATCCATAGGGTTTTGACTGGCTAATTTTTGAAAGTAGATTGCTAGGCCTTTCTTCCTAGTCTGTCTCAGTCTGGAAGCTCTGCTGAAACCTGTCCACCATGGGTGACCCTGCTGGTATTGGAAATACCAGTGGCAGAGCTTCCAACATCACAGCAACTTCCAAGCCACCACAGTACGACAGACTGACACAGGTGGTGGCTTTAGTTTTTAGGATCATGATTTTGACAATAACATTGGCCTAAACCGTGTTTAATATTCTCCTCTCACCTTTGAAAGGGATTGGAGCTAAGTGAGCAGTGACCCTCCCTAGCCCCATATCTTCACTGTTCCTTCCCTAGGCTGCCCTGAGCGGGGTATCCTTCTCCCTAGCAGCTCCACCAAAGAAAATGATCCTTCCATTTCAGGCATTGAATCCAGCACTTACATAGCAATTGCAGTATTTTCAGCTGTGTTAAACAATTTTGGAGATAATCTGTGCAACTCGCAATTTTGACATTTACAAGTATATACAATAGAACTGGTTGTTAAATGGGCTTTTGTAGTAAGTGCACAATTTAGAATCAGGCACAATTTTCATTTTCTGCCAATTATCTATGCTACCATCAACCCCATGATAAAGGTAGAAGCAAGTGGGAGAAAATGGTGAAACCGGGATGGCTCTACGCCCACTCTTTTGTTTTCATTTGATTCTTGCCAAAATGTTGGTTTGAAAAAGAAAGGAACATTTGAGATAACAATAATAACATCAGGAACACTTAATATACCAAACCAAACCCACTGCCGTCGAGTCGATTTTGACTCATAACGACCCTATAGCACAGAGTAGAACTGTCCCATAGGGTTTCCAAGGCTGTAAATCTTTACAGAAGCAGACTGCCACATCTTTCTCCCTTGGAGCCGCTGGTGGGTTCAAACTGCCCACCTTTCGGTTAGCAGCCAACCATTGCG